TCCCTTCTCCTCTGCCTTTCACGTCTCTGTGTTAGCAGGGCTTGTTTGTCCATGTCCACCAGCAACTGGTCGTGTTTCTCATCTGAGGGCCGTGAGACAGACATTAGCACGTATGTTACAGTAGATCCGTGTGTGTGTGTGTGTGTGTGTGTGTATATATGTGTATATGTATGTATGTGTATACACTGAGATGGGAGTCCACCAACCTACCCTCCAGTTTTTGTTTATGTCTTTGCAGTGCCTGCTCAGTCTGCTGCTGTTGGATCCAGGCGTTAAACTGCTCCCTCTGCTTCTGCATCCTGTCATAGTACTCCTTGTCCTCGCCCAGGAGACCACAGAGGGACACCTGCGCATCCTCGCCTTTGGTTTTTTTAAGGCGATCCGGATCATTCAGGTCGTACTCTCGTCGGGTGTAAGGCTGCTGGTAGTTGTCACGGAAGTTGACAATTTCCTTATTGATGGCTCGCTGCTTCTCTTCTTCTCTGATGTTCTGAATGAAAGCTATTCTGTTGTTGTGCCGCATTTGGGCTTCTGCAGTTTGTATAGAGACAGAACAATTGTTACAGATGCACACACTGAGTCCAGTGGTCATAGACATAGTTATACATGAGTCACTGTTTACAAAAAAATAGTAAGCTGTTAATAAAAATTGGTGCACATGCAAATATTTGTGATGGAACTTTATGGTTAGGGTCCACAACTGTGAACACAGAAAAGGCCGTTTTATAAAAACAAAAACCAAACCTTTTAGGCACTGAGTACAAACACATGATCTACTTCTACTGTCATTAGAAAACATCAGGAAAGTCACATCCTACTACATCCTACAAATGCAAGTGAAAGCTTTCAAAACCTGGCAAAAGTGAATGTGTCACTAACTCTGCTGACTTTTTGCTCATACTTTTCTTAAAAAAACTACGAAGACTAACTGTCACTCGCCATAAGCCATGGAGTTTTGATTTTCCTCATCTTCTTGTTTCTTCTTTTCCAGCATTTGAATATCCAGAGCCTGTTTGTCCACCTGTGAAACCAAGCAACAAAGGTTTGAGTACATACATTGACCTCTCTCCCACCCCCCGGCTACAGATGTTTGTCCCAACACATTTCATGTTCACCTATCTGTAAATTAAATAATATCAGGCAATGATGCACTTATCTCTAAAAGAATTTAGCATTTTAATTCATATTTGAGGATTTTTATTATTATTCTCTGTTCTATAAAGGAATATTTCAAATTTAATATAAGCTCAGCTCAGTTCTTTAACAACTAACAATGCTGTGATCGACACAATTTGATTCTATATTAACGTCTAGGTTAATTAAGAAGTTGTGTTTCTTTCCAAGGAATCTGCAACCACAATGGTTGGACAAAATTCTGTCAAACAATATTTTCTCAAACTTGTTGCAAGTTGTTGAAATAAAACATGATAAAATAAAACAAACAAAAAACAATAAAATGACTCTGTCAAATATGGAGTATTTTATGGTAAATGCGTCCATACCAATATCCATATTATGTAGAACAGTGGTTCTCAAACTGTACGCGAGCGCTATATAGTGGTACGCAGGGAAAATTCATATTTTCACATTTACATTTTCAACACATTTCACATTTTACATTTGAATAATGCACAATTAATACAACATTCAAACATAAACATCTTTATAAACATTTATAAACATCTCTCCTGTGTGGTGGAATCCAACCGGGGAGGCCTATGCTACTATATTCTAATGTTGGTCATCATGGTGGTACTCAGAGAGCTCTCAGGAGTTCTCAGGTGGTACAGAGTATAAAGTTTGTGAAACAACTGATGAAGAGGGTTTGACAGGTGAGAAATTCAGAGAGTTACACATTGGAACCTCTTATTTTGTGCATCTGCTGACAGTTTTTGGATTAGAAGTGGCCTTAAAGTATTTGATTCTCCCCTAATATGGCAGATAGAACTGGGGAAACACATCACGTTTTACTACAACTATAGTATTTGTAACTCCATACATTACACGTTACGTGTTGAAGTTAGGGACTTAAGGTGAATTTCGTTATGGGTTAGGGTCGTTGTTAATAGTTAATGTGAGGACCAATAAGATCAGGCACTAACAGATGTGTCCTGTGACAGAAAATCGTTAAACTGATCTAACACAAGAACCCGGGCTAACGGGCTATCCCTCACCCCGATGGTTCTCCACTTTTCATTGAAAATCCTCTCCCGTCTCTCGACCTCAGCCCGACGGCGTCTCTGGACGCCCGCTCTCTCCATACGGTCTGCGATGTGTTCAACGTCGTCCATTCTGATGACGAGTGTGTCGAACCTTAACCTATCTCTGATGGTTCGTTCTCTTTTTCTTCAACTTCCTCTTCCGCCTCACGGTAAAATGTTCCCTAATACTAAACATGAGCGCACATTTGAGCGACGTTCTCGTAACATCAAAGGACAGCCATGCCCCACGCGTTCTTTTATGTCAGAAGACCTCCTGCTGCTCAACACACTGGTTGCTTGGCAACCGGATGTTCGAAAACCTTCCCGTATTTAAAGTATTGAAATTAAATTTTCCAAAGCTCTTTTACCGTAATTTGAAAGCTTGGGTTTTTATATTTTCAAACAGGCAAAGTTTACAAGTGTAAAAACTTCCTGTCAGCAATTAATTATTCCACGCAATTTCGCCCATTTCTCCTTATTGTTACAACACTGCCTGCTGCTGTGCCATACCAACTTCTCCAGTGACTCCTATTGGATGCTCCACCAATCATACATACAGCTTCTCTCAGCTCACAGTCAAATGTGTATTGTTTTAACATTCTATGGTTTCATATTGTGATGCTCAAACTGATTAATTGGGTCAGTCCCATTTTGATATAGCCCAGTTTACATAGTGTACATAAGGTGGGTTACTAAAATATAGACAGAGCATGAATTAGCACTGCCATTCCAATGCATGAAATCAAAACAACTGATGAAGGATGATGATTGAATATCTTTATTTTGGAAAGTATTTATTTTGTTCCCTCATAGTCACTTAATAATTCAGGGCTGATAAACGCCCCAGCAATTACATCCACACAGGACATTAAACAACTTCTCAACATTCTTCTCCCAATTACTATTTTAATTTTTATAATTAGCAGATTTAGTTATTTCCGCTAACAGAGAATTGCATATGTAGCGAAACAGACACTTTAAAAGGGTTTAATTATGTTTTGGATTTCCCATCTATGGCCAGAACATTCTCGTATTAGGAGTTTGCTGTCTTTAATCTCCAGACACCTCTTCGTTTGTCGATTTTTCAGTTCTTTGCCCTGGAGCAAAAATTATTCTTATCAGTGCTACTTCACATTTCACCAACATCAATCTTCTCATTTAGACATATTCATTTATTTTCTACTGCCTAATCACTTTTAGGATCGCAGAGGCTCTGGAGATTTCAAAAGTGATCGACCCTGGGTCAAACACGTACAGTAAAAAGTAACCATTCATGGTTACCTGAGTGAAGCTCCAGTATATTCCCATGCCTTTCTCTGTTGCCTCTTTGCAGTTGTGAAGACCAGGCTCATTCTCCTTATTGCCAGAGTCTGTTAAACAACGGTTGTCGTTGTACTTGTGGGACTTGATGCCACCGATGTAGAGCTCTCCAGTCGTACGGTAGTATGTGTACTGGAGACAAAATAAGTCTGGGCAGCTTATGTCTTCAACAACGATAAAACTACTTTGATTATACTCAGACTTCAACCTTCACCAACCTGAGGTCCATAGTAGTAGCAGCCGAAGGCGATCGGTGTGTGACCTGGCACTGGTCCCTGGTCCAAACACATGTTGGTGTCAAGATTCTTCATCTGTCGGATGGATTTAATCACATCTTAGTCCAAATACTGGAGCACTTTATTTATACTAAATATGGTTATATTATATATTATTATACTGCACTGCATAATTCTTTATATATTATTTTATATAATTCTTTATGTACTGCCATGTTGTAATGCAGTAAACTAACCTTACCCCTCCATAGCCCAATATGTTGTCCCAGGTATCTAACTTGGGGTACACGTTTTCAAGGTACCACTTGAAGGGTTTACACTTCAACCTCTCTCTGAGCTTTTTCCTCTCAGATATATCACCAATGTCAATCCCGTGATTCTGCAGAGGTCAAAAAAAAAAAAAAATTCAAGCACTGCATTTATTGTATAACATACTGAAAAGGCAGTCCTATTTTATACATTTAAATATTGTTTTCATATTTACAATATAAAATTGTATCTTATCTCTATGGTGTATTTTTACCTCAAATGGAAGGTTCCAAGCCAGGTTGATGTTGTGTTTGTAATCATCCATCCATATTTCTGCTACTCTTAGGGCATTTCTCTTCATAATAAGACTAAGGTCAGGCATGTAAGGTTTGTGGTTCCTCTCTATGTGCGCGATCTTAGAGCATGGAACCACTTCAACGCTGCCTCCACATGTCCACACCTGTATGAGTGGAATAAAACACAAATCACCAGTCACTACTGCAGAGAAAAAGGAAAACCTGAAAACAAAACCTTGGATCAAGAAGAAGGAATAAAAGTAGACTACAGGGCCGTGTAAGGGAAGTAAATGTTTCTAATAATTCTAATTTAAACACAATCATGTTTGCTTTTGTACTCACCCTGACAGAGCACTTTTATTCTGCTCTCAGAGCTTCTAACTGTGTTGTTTCCTCCATTTCTAATGGACTGTCTGTGTTCATTGGTCTATGCTAAACCTATGTTTTTCATCATCATGTCACATTCAGGGGTCATGGACTCACACGTATTCCCAGTTCCACATTTTCTCCACCATACACTTTCATCCCTTCATCAAGGACACCGATTTCCCCTAAAAATTTCCTGTCAGCAACAAAGATTCCCATCACTGATGGACTCCTGGAAATAGTAGGAAAAATGTGTCACATCAGACACTACACTGAGTTTACAGCAAATACTAATTAACCTGTCAGAAGCATGCTTTTTTTCTTAAACCCACATGAACCACGTCATTGTTTTTAGCTGATCACAAAGACAACATGATTTGTTTTCTACTTACTTCCCCGGCAGTGAGCTGTCATTGAGCTGGTAATACTCAGGAGTAAAACTCTCATACATGCACCACAAAGCCCAGTCAAAGGCATGTGCAGCTGGAAGATACTGAATAACCTTGAGGTCATCAAAGTTGACTTTGTCAAACACTGGGGAGACCACCACGGTTCGGTCGGCTTTGATTTGCGTGAGCAAAGGCTCCGCCCTACGGGCGTAGAACAAGTTATTAAACAGGTGCGTAAAGAGTCCACTTTTGCTCAATCCTTTTGTTTTGTTTTGTTTTTTGACCAAAGCATGTCAATAACATTTCACTTTGACATTAAACACATTACACATTTAGCATAAAATGAACATATTGTGTTCCCTCTAAATCTGTGCCATTGGGTCATACAAAGGTCATACTAGGTGTGATTCTGCACAGGACAGTTGATATGACTGCTCTAAAAATAAATAAATAAATAAAAGTACAAAAATGACAGGTGCAGAAAAATTCTTACCACAGCTCATGAACTTCAATGTGAGCATCGAGGATGGCAACCACCTCAGCAGTGGCAGCTCTCCATCCTGAGGCTCTGGCATGAGCAAGGCCCAGCTGCTCCTTGTGCTTCACTCTGACGACTTTCAGAGTTGGCTTTTCTTGCTCAAGTGACTTCACATACACATCGAGATCCCCTTTCAGGTTTTCTGAAACGGAATCAAACCAACATGAACCTATGTGGCGAGTCCCCTCTAATGTCCCTTTGTCAAGGTTTTGAAGAAAATCCACTCACCATTAGAGCTATTGTCATCCACCAGTATGATCTCCTTCAGGAGACGTTTAGGAGTGCGGTCAATAATGCTGCGAAGAGCTCTTTTTATGACAGACAGGGCTTCATCCAGGTAGATCAACACCACTCCAAGACTGGGCAGGTCTTTGGGATAACTCTTTCCAACACACCTAGAACCAGATTATGTTTGTGGTCTTCTTACTTTGAGCACTAGCTGCATGATATGTGTTGTAACCATAAAAGATTAACCTTGGATCCCTGGTGTCTGGAAGAACTCTGTCCAGAGGAAGTTGATCACTAAGAAAAACATTGTAGCCATACTTCTGGAAAAGAGACTCTGCCTCTCTTTGGTCGTCTTCAGACAAATTCTCACCCCACTCCTTGAACAAGGCAGAGTCTGGGTACAGTTTATTTGACTTTTTGGCCACAGCTGCTTTTTGGTTCTCGTGGATTTTGGTGTCAGGTTGTACGTTTTGGTCAGGCTGGACTGGTGTGCGCTGTTCCACTTCTGCAGCTTTTACTCGTTTTTCTCGTTCATCTTCAAGAATTTTCTGTAATTGATCCTGTTTTTGCCCAAGAACTTCCAACACCATGACTTGGAATTAAAAAAAAGATTTTAATAGGAATGATTTATGTAAAGCATTTCTGTTTCAGGTCTATTCTAGCTCATTCCATGCTTGTGCTGCATTGTTGCAAAATGAATTATTATTAGTCATATGACTTAGACTTTACCCATGGAGAAACTCGAAGATACAATATTTTATTAAAAGTTATTCAGATTGCTTACTTCCTGAACAGAAGTTTTCAAATAGGTATCAGCTTGATTTAGAATTTTACAAAGTAAAATGATAAACCGTGTTATCACTGACTGAACTAGTGATATAAAAACACATTAATGTATGTACTAGTACTAAATTAGTACTAGTACTAAGTATACACTCACGTAGACGGCTGATACGTTCCTCCAGTTCAGAAAACGTCTTGATCATTGGCTTTGTACTCAGCCCTTGTTCAGTCTCTTGTATAAGAAACAGACTCAAGTTGAAAAGAAGCCCAATCCCTATCAGAATAAAAGCTGACCGTTTTAGCAACGCCCTTCTCATTTTGACAAAGTCTGAGAATCAAACTTCAGAGCACAGAAACTTTTAAGGGGACTGAACTGACTGTCAGAGGCCAGGGCAAGAGATGGTCATGGTCAGATTTGAGATCAGGTGCAGCTGCCTTTGATTAGTGCAGGAGGGGGAGATCATCTGAGCACAGCTACTCCAATCACTGAATCAGTTTCATTAATCCTACAACTCTCAGAATTCCATTTGGTCTGGTGAGAGACTGGGAGGAACCTAGTGGCAGAAAGTGGCAACATGGGCATCTCTTTTTATTTATACTTTATATAAACTATATATTTTATGAGTATATTTGTATTTTTGTTTATTTGGTTATTATTTATGAGATTTTGCAAATTCCTAACAAATTCCTAACTATGACCCTACTTCGTCCTCTTGGGGTTATGGAATATACATGACGTCGAATCCGAACGTAAACCCGTATGACCCCCCGGGTCATATTCACTCGTTTTACTAGACAAACACGAATAATACCACTTTATGTCCAGTAGATGGCATAGTCACACAAATATTGACTCCAAAATCGTTACCGGTTATTAGGACAAAAGGATATAATGTGTTAATGCTAATGAGGAGTGTACGGATATTTGTCTGCATACATTCAAGGAGTAGCAAGAAATGTACTAAATGTAGCTTTTTGTGTATAGTAATATGGCTATGTGTGTTGCAATGAACGGATTTTATAAAGTGAATATTACAGTTTGAAACTGTGATATAACTGATATTTGCATTATTCAGGAACAACAATTATTAAAAACTAGACAAATATATAAGTGAACATTTTTTTGAATTGGCAGTTTATATATGTGCTCTGTCATTGTCATAGAGGTTTCATATGTCGGACTAAGAGAGAAAATGTTGTGGCCTTTTAATAAAGGTTGACAGATATGGGACACAGCAGTGAGGAGTTGGGGAGGGGGTCCCATTGTGAGTCACAGATAGGAAAGAATTAATGTGGCAGAAAGTAGCTGCTCTCGTTTATATGTTTCTTATATCTCCAGTTGATTCTCATACTGTTATCCAGCCAGCCATCCATCCATCCATCATCCATCCATCCATCAGCCATCCATCCATCCAGTTCAGGGTTACAAGGTGAGCTGTACTCAAACCCAGCAGGCATTACTTTTCTCCTATTGGCCAAATGTCAAGTCAACACAATAATGCTATTATACGCTCTGAGTTGGTTGTACTTTGACAGTCAGGTTTGTTTGTTATCGATAACAGTTACACTAAGCCTCATCCTTCACTGATTCTTCTATGTTGTTGTCTTGTATGTAATGTTTTCTACAAGCCCTGGCCTAAATCCCTTCGATTTGAAGACTTCGATCAGTGCATGCCATTAAATCTCAAGGAGCTGGAAAGACCTCCACATCACATGTATGTTTTTTTGTTGTTTTTTTTTTTTTTGGCAGAAACTACAACCTAATTGCTAAAATAGTCTGCTATTTGTTAAAATAACATCGATTTTATATTTTTCTATAAAATCAAACATTTAAAATTTCTATATTTCTTTAATTTCTAATCTAAATATCCGTATCTACATTCATTTATGTATTATAGATAGATTTATATATTTATTAATGTAGGACACGAATTTAAGCAAAAATCCATTTTAGATTAGTGTTTTACGGCTGTATGCAGTTTTCTGCGCCGCCACTAACGCTGCTCATACGCAATCTCTGGATAGGTGGTTACCATGGTTACTGGGTCACATGCGTGGGTTTCCTGTAGCCAGCAGCAGCAGAAGATGCTCGGACCAAAAATCCACAGCCATTTTCATTCCCTGCTGCAGATAGCTGACTGCTGACTGGGCGGCCTGACGACATCCGTCTGAAGGAACTGGTCCTTTTGAATTTCCCCCTCACAGTCCAACTGCGTGTTTTTGATTCGTTTAATTTCTCAGCAAACCGGTGTAATCAACATCATTAGATTGATCACAGGAATGAGTATAGAAATCCCTGAAGGACTGACGGAGCTGTTACAGAGCTTTACCGTGGAAGTTTTAAGGAACCAGCCCAGGGATTTGCTCGAGTTTGCCTTACAGTACTTCACCCAGCTGAAGGACCGTGAGACCAAAGAGGCCTCCTTCGGCAATGACCAGAATTCGGCCCCGAGACCTGGGAAAGCGGTCAATTTCATTGACGAGGCCATGCAGATCGACTCGGAGAACGGAGAGGAGGACGATGAGGACGACGACGACGACGACGACGACGAATTCACAGGTAGAACAACGGGCACACGTCATGGAAACGCAGATTATAATGTATCGATGAACTGTGTGTGTGTGTGTGTGTGCAGTAGAAAACACAAGGATGCTTCAGTGAGCGACACCTTTCTCCATCCACCCTGTCATTGGCCATATATGGTCATACAGAGGCTCAACGCTGCTCAATGAACGTCTCCATCACTGTAGAGATGTCTTGATAGAAACAGCAATTTAAAAAATAGCATAAAAGTAAAAGGCAGGCTGCATTTCCCTTTTTATAATATTTGTTCCTTTATGTTGTATTTTCAGTGGATAGCAGCATGTGCAGGCCTATTGGGCCTACCTTGATAATAATAATAATAATAATAATATATATATATATATATATATACATATATATATATATAAACAGTTTCTGATATAAACCGCTAAACTGAGCTAACATAAATACATGCATCTTTGCACATTGAATATCTGTTTGTATGGCTATATTTTTCATAAGGACCATTGCTTGATTGCCATAAATTGCAGAGAGTAGTAGCATAGCAACCCAGAGCTGTGGCTCAGCATCCCAATGAGTTTCAGGGTCTGCTCTACAACACTGACTGCACTGCTTACATAAGCCGTCTCTTTAGCCTTATACTAATAAACATTCTAATTCCTTGATTGCATAACCTCCTACGTTCTATGTTCTTTTCATATAATAAAATTGTAATCAGCATCCTCCCTGTACAACCGTGTCAGGATCTCCTCCCATCTTATGTATATTTCATAGCAGGCCATTGTGTTAAATGGATGGAGTTGTTTTTTGTTTTTTTTTGTTATATTTAAATATAATTCACAGAAGCAACCTTCAAAGCAGCTGTGATTATTGTAATTTTTATTCCAAATAAATATGGAATTACATCATTCTCTACCCACTGTGTTTCCACAGCAGTGGCCACAAACACAATATTTTGTCAATGAAAATAATGTCACTGTAAAGCAGATTCACACTACAGTGCATGTTAACCTGATTGTTGTTCTTTTTTATTCTTTCACAGCACCGGTAATTAACAGGTTCATCAGAAGAGCATCAGGTGAGTTGTTTCTCTCAAAAATGGACTGTTTTCTACTGAAATGGTGACACTGAGGAGGCTGAAAACTTTGTACTTGTTTTCTTTTCCATTCTATTTTTGTCAAAACAGTAAACAGTTTTTCTGGTTTAACTGTTGAGGGTTAGTGTTGAGATTGGATGAGCTGCTGACTTCTAATAGCTAAGATATTGGCTATCTATTCACATGTCTGACTTTTATGTTAAACATAATGATATCTACTGGTAGACAAGCAGATCCACTGCTGTTTTCAACATAGACCACAAACTACAACTGCAAACTACAAAAGTTATAGTTAAACAATCTTAAACAAACAAAAAACGTGGCATATTTTCCAGAAGTTTCTGTCTCAGTGGTTTCTGCTTTAGGTGTTGTCAGAAGTTGAACAGTCTCCCGTGCTGTTTGTTTCCCAACTTGTGCTTTACTGTGAATAAATATTACCATTTTCATGGTTGCATTCTGCTGCTGTAGTTAGCGTTCGTGTCTTGCTTCAAGGTCATCAGCTGATTTCTGTGCTAAGACAAAAGGCTTTTTGTATAATGCTGTGCACAAATGAGCAAACATACTGATATGCTCTAGGTCATTGTTTCCCAAAGACTGGGTTGCGACCCTCAGGTGGGTCGCAAGAAATTTTTTTTTTGGGATGTCTTGCATCATGTTTCCCAGAAGTTTACCAATAATGTCTATTGACTTGAGTCGCGATGGTTGTGATGTTGTGATGTGACTTTTAAAATATGTGTCCCCAGAAAAATAAGTTTGGAAACTGCTTTTGGTTAATTGCTAACATTATATTAGCGATTGGATTAAATATTATTGTGAATATTATTGTTTTGCTTGTATATATGCCTAGTTATAGTACGAGGACATGTCAGGGGTGTACCCTGACTTTTTTTCCAATGTCTTTTGGGAATGGGTTCAGCTTCCCATGTGACCTTTTTAAAGGACAATTTGAAGAAAAATAAAATACCTTGTCTCAAACCAAATGTTATCTTAATGGCAGTGTCTACCATTTATAGTTCAAAATATGAAATCATCTCTAATAAAAGCCATAAAAAGTAATAGGTACAGAAATTGACTTACTGTATGTTAAAATGTTGGTGTAACTGGATGGAAGTTGGGGCAAAAATTGATGTGGTGAAATGCTTCAAAAAACATTGTACCATTGTGAAACAATGCATCGTGAATCCATTAAAAATCGATTGTTTTGAATCAATCGTTAGATGTATAACAGTTATTGCACTGGACATCTAAATATGTTACATTTTTAATTCATAACTAAACAGTATTTACAACAATGACTCCAGACAGTTACCCTTTTTTGGCCTTTTTTGGCCCACGTCTGGTACACGACACTTGAACTGGATTATGTGATGGAAAAGAAAGGCATCTGGCCACAACATTGTAGCATGTCAAATACTGTATAGCCAAACATGAGACAATATTAAATTCTTTAAGAATACTTGCCCACATTTACAATTTTTCTTGTGGTCCATTTAAGGTTACATTGTTTTCATTATTTGAAATCAGGCAGTGGTGCAGTATAACCCAAATTATAGCAAATGTGCATACCTGCTTTGTAAGATGAACTGTGAAAAAAGAGAGTTGAACTACTGTAGTTGTGACTGTCATCATCATCATCATCGTCATCATCAGTTTGCTGTACTGTGTCTTGCAGTCTGTGCTGAGGCATTCAATCCTGATGAAGATGAGGAAGATAAAGAGCCATGGGTAGGCCGAGAATTCTGTTCAATAATTCTGTTCTGTTGAGTAAGCTGCCATAAATTTGACAATGAGTGCAGTTCCTTTCTTGGTTTACGGTAATGTCCATGTCTTATATCTGTAGGTGACCCATCCAAAAACTGATGAGCAGAGACAGAGACTACAGGAAGCATGTAGAGACATTCTCCTGTTCAAGAATTTGGACCCTGTAAGTAGATGATTGCATTAGTGCTGTGTTGTCCTCCAGTTTATTCTCTGCCAGCTATTAAATTACACAAAGGGAAACATGGCCCGGGGCCTGGAGCTTTTTGTCAGCATCTCTGTACCGCACTCCGCATGTTTTTGTGTTAGTTATAACAACACAATCAACGCTTCACAGCCAGTTACTTCAGTGTGTTTTTTGTAATGTTGAGATTTTATGCCTGCTGTACAGGAGGAGATGTCCTCTGTTCTGGATGCCATGTTTGAGAAGTTCTGCACAGACGGCGAGCACATAATTGATCAAGATGATGATGGGGACAATTTTTATGTCATTGAAAGGTGAGTTGAAACAGTAAACAAAACAACTTACTTTTATAATAGAAAATATTGTTATGCAGCACTGGTGAAAGTTATTTAAGTTATTTAAAATATGTGCAAATATTCACTGGAGTTGTGTCTCTGTTCTACTCATGGTGGTTTCAGAAGAAGTGTGTCTTTATAGTGTTTTTATTTTCACTGACTGACATTTTTAAATGAATTTCCAGTGGCATGTTTAACATCTATGTGAAAGTGGACGGCACAGAGAAGCTCGTGGGCTGCTATGACAACAGAGGCAGCTTTGGAGAACTAGCGTTGATGTACAACACGCCCAGGGCGGCCACTATCATCGCAGTCTCGCCCGGAGCCCTTTGGTGCCTGGTAAATAGATTAATAAATGTTGGCTCCATGATGCATTGCAGAAATTGATCAAACATCACTGAACCAGTATTAGTAACACAAAAACAACGAGGTTGATAATTGGTCAAATTGAGTATTCAATATAACCTCAGTGCTTTTGACCATTTGTAATACTCTTTTTTTTTACTTTTTACTAAACTGATTTGACTCTGACCAACACAGACCTAAGTTTGATATACAACTTATTCTATATAATTGTGTGTTAAGCAAAGTAGTTTAACCCTTAGAGGGTACCCCAGGGGTAGGTTACACCGCTAAAAGGCTTTGATAACGGTAGATTTTTTTAAAAAGATTTGATAGTTTTTACTGCAACATGGTCAAACTAGTAAAATCAAAGTTGACTCAAAATCAGGGCAGTGATTTTGCCACAATGTCTTTGATGTCTACAGTGATATTGGATGAAAAAAAAAAACAGAGAAGCCGAAGCATAATCAATATGCAAATAAATACTGCATGCAACATGCAAACAACACTGAAAAATTTGTACGTTATGCCACAACCACAAATTTAATAACTCAGCATAACAGAGATATCATGAGACAGACCAGGAGTCAATTTCAGCTAAGATGGCATTGATTTTTAATGTCCGAGGGTAAAAAAAAAAAAGACAACACAAGACACAACAATACATAGTTTTTTTGTTTTGTTTTTTAAGATGAAAAAGACTTTTTTAATTAGACATTTCTGGTCAGTAGGTTCTGAGGCCAGTGTGTGCATGAACAGGGCAGTTTGGACGAGAAACAGAGACCTTTTTCAGTAGGCTAGGACAACCCAGGAGTTCCCAACCACTGCATGATGTCTAACAACACAAAAATAAAATAGTATTAGTAGTAAATTGTGGCGAAAAAAACTCGATCACTTCACTGAAATTGCAGCGTGTCTTCTTTCCTTTTTCTTTGTGTTCATCAGGATCGTCTGACATTCAGGAGGATCATAGTGAAGAACAATGCCAAGAAGAGGAAGCTCTACGAGGCGTTCATTGAAACGTTGCCATTGCTGACATCACTAGAGGTAAGTGGCAGAGTAACAGAGAAACTGTTAAGTGGGTTTTTTTTTTTGACCCATTGTGATTCGTATGTGTTTTTGTCCACAGCTCTCAGAGAGGATGAAGGTTGTGGATGTCCTATCTACCAAGGTCTACAATGACTCACAGCAGATCATTGCTCAGGTGACACTCTTTAAGGACGTGTATTGAAGTTTCTGTTTTAAATATAATGTATGTTCCATAGTTACTATATGACATTACGTTGGTATTTATTGTTTTGTTTGAACTGCTGTGTCTTCCAGGGTGATTTAGCAGATAGCTTCTACATTGTAGAGTCTGGTCAAGTTAGGATCACCATGAAAAGGAGCAGAGTAGGTTTGCCCATTTAAAGTGTATAACTCTAATACTGAAAATACATTAGGGGTTTGTGTGTTGATGGTTGTGTATTATTTATCAGACGAAAAAGGACCAAGAGGAAGAGGAAATGGATATTGCTACATGCTCACGGGGGCAGTATTTCGGAGAGTTGGCTCTTGTCACAAACAAGCCCAGAGCTGCATCTGCCTATGCTGTAGGCAGTGTCAAATGCTTGGGTAAATTATGATTAGTAATATTATTTTGATGCTATTTTCCTTCACTAACTTTTCTTTCAATCCTCTCTTTGTTGTTCTTGTCATGTTTCAGTTATGGACGTACAAGCATTTGAGAGACTGCTGGGCCCATGCATGGACATCATGAAGCGAAACATTGCTAACTACGAGGAGCAGCTCCTCACCCTGTTTGGAAGTAGCCCTGAACTTGAGCAACAGTGTGCCTACGATGACCTCCATGGACCATGAATCAGTGGATGAAAAAAAGGTTGTTTGTTTGTTTGTTTGTTTCCCTTTGTGATGACTAAAAAAAGGCTTTTCATAAAAGAAATGTGAATCCCCTTCACAAAGTTTGTGTCGTATCAACTCAACAGACAATGTTAGTCTTCTTTGAAGAGAGGTTGCCAGTATTATTGCTAGGCCAAAGCAAAGTTGCTGAAAGCTTGTTTAAGTACGTTGTGTCACTTCCCACATCACTGACCATAAATAAGAAATGCACTGGGCTGCCCTGTTGTAAAAGTAGGGCTTTACTAGTTTCATAGGTAACTTATTTTTTCACTTTCTTTGAACATCAAAAAACGTTTCCCGTAGAATCGATGCTTGTGCTTGCTTATGTCATTTCTGTTAATTATGATTCTCTTTATAGGGATATCAATAATAAGGATGATGCTGAACAAAACAAGATTGGACATGGTGTGATTGTCCAATAGGAGCCTAATTTCAGGCGTTAGCTTTGCTTTATAACCTTATCCTAGACATGGAAACGTGCTAAATGAACATGCCTTTCCTGTTAAGAAGATCGTAAACTCTTCAGGATTAGGTTTATTTGATCATGTTGTGTGATAATTGTAGAATACTTTTAAAGCATACTTCCATTCATAGTTTTTCTCTCGAAGTATTTCTTCTGTCCTTCCAGGACTCCTCTTTCAGCGACGTCACAAACGAGTAGCCACGTCCATTTCTTATATACAGTCAATTCCCTTTCCTCAAACCGAGTGTACATTTCACATATCAATGCCAGATGCATTAATTGTTGATACAATCAACACTTTTGTTTAAACTACTTATCTCACTGTGTTAAAGGTATGACAAAATCCTATACTGTTTGTGTTTCATTAACATTGTTTTTTTTTAATAGGAAAATGCCAAAGTAAATTTCCTGCTGGACAATTTTAAGCGAATATATTTGATCGTGTTTTCTAAACAGTGAAAAGGGGGCAAATACGAGTCTGTGCAAAAGTCACATTTTGGTCATAAATAAATGTAGATGTGACAGTACTTTCACATTTTTATCCATTTTGCATTCGTTTTTCACAAGATTTAATCAAGTGACTGTGTTTTCATTACCTGTGTTTCATTGTGTTTGTAGCTGCCAGGCAAATGTCATGCTTTAGCAAAAAAACAAAGAAAAAGATGGAAAACAAACAAAAGACAAAAAAGCAAAAACATACTTCAGAGAGATAATTGATAGTTTTGTAAGAATATTATACAACATGTTGCTGTAATATTTGAAAATGAGTATTTACTGTTATTGTAGAGGCCCATCATTATTTTATTAAGTTGCGCCATTAGACTGTAGCCATATTAGACAATGTCCTTTTGTGTCTGTCAGATTTAAGTCTGCTTCTGTGTCAGTGAACATGTATTATTATTATTATTATTATTATTATTATTGCTGTCTACCTCTGCCAAATACTTGTACTCTTCAGAAACACATAACCCGTCCCCACTCCCCTCTCACATTTAAAAGAAATAACTGACATTTTATGTGATTTTGCTGCAGCTTTAAGTCTTTAAAGCTGATATAACATTAAACATTACACATTTACTTATTTCACTCCTTTGTAAAGGTGAACCATTGATGACTTCTGAGGGCAATCACTGGAATGGTGGTAATGTGTGTTTCACTTTTCATGACAATAAAACATTTTTTATACATATGTTAAGTCACATTTGTTTTGCTACAGTAAAGCAGGGTTGTACAAAATGATATCAAATTCTATAAAATACAAATAAATGAGGATCACCTTCTTATGATACATAGGATTATAAATAGGATGAATTACAGCAGTGCATTTTTTTCTCACAAATGTATTTGGGGTTTTTTAAATGTTTTTTTTTATATGTAGTGTTGTGAAAGATATTACAATATTCTAAATATTTTGTTGAAGACACCCTTGCAAAATGTTGTACAATAAATAAAAAGCTAAAAGATAATTAAACGTAAATCCAATACATCCCCCTATGTAAAACAAGGTCTCAAAGGTAGAGACATTGTGTAAAGACTTGATAACAGGTAGAAATAGCACAAAGCTAATCAGAAAACGACATTAAATGAAGACAAAGCAAAATAAAAAATAAAAAAAATTGGTCAGTATAGGTCACTATACCCAAAATAAGACCATATCTGAAAAAGAAGGCATTAAAATTAATCCTAAAAATGAATGAAAAGTGTTAAATGCATTGTTTTTCATGCGTTTTTTCATGAATTCTTTTTCATTCATTACAGGCAGCCATACACCCAGCCATCGTGGAAGAACAGTTTATAGCTGTGTAATTCCTAATTACAGGATAAAGCAAACATATTCTAGAGTCAAACGTAAGCAACTTCTTTTTTGCTGCAGTTGCAACATTGTAGATAAAAACATAACCATGTATTGTTTCTGTTATGCCAATCAGCTGTTACTGGGTAGTAACAGGCATGTACTTTCATCCAATCGCGCGATGATAAACAAACGTTGCCCCTCCTTTTTTGTTATTCACAATGTTATAGACCAATAGGTTGGCGTTTATTTTGTTACTGACTTTCCTGTTGTCCAATAGAAGGCGTCCTCTGAAGACTTTCATTCCCACCCATCGAGTGAATGCCAGAGAGTTTTTTGATGGCGACAGGTCTGGTGAGTAAAAAGTTATTCACTTTAAAACCATCAAATAAATCGATCAAACTGAGTTTTAACACACACGCTGTCTGAATAGCGACTTTGTGATGTGAACGCGACGTTTTATCACCGCTGTCATGCGTTTCAAAGTCGTCGTCCCGTAGCTTCTGCTCGACAGTGTTTTTTTCCGCTATGACGATTGTTGTTTTGATGGTAACAAATCAATGTTCTAGCAGTTTACCAGCGTAAAAGAACACCTTGCTGTGAGAAACAGTGAATTGTGTTGTAAATGTCGTAGAAAGGCTGGTAAGGGCTTCGTGTCATTCATTTCGAACAGGCCACATAGGTTGCGTCATGCCTCAACTTGTTGACATTCTTTTGTTTACAGTGGTAGACCCGACGGCCTCTGGGTTTCAGTCGAGGACACAGTTGGTGCTTTTTAGGAGCAAGAAAAGAGCAAACATGTGATTTAAACTATACTTTTGACATTTTACACCATATACTTAATAAGACAATCGATAATTATGGGTACGATCGCGTTTAAAAAGTAAAGGGAATAGATTATACACATTACGGATCAGTGTCAGAACATTAACAAATTATAACAGTTATTTCCATTTGTTTTGTTTATTGATTTACATAGTTCCAAAATGGATTCCAACTATTTTTGTTACCCCGTATGCATTTAAACGCCAGACGAATTTAAATCCAAATTTGTATTTTTTCTCATCTATGTAGATAGATATTGTGTTTTTGTTCGAGCCTTCTGCTTGAGTTCACAGGACTCGTTTCTGTTTCTGTAATTGTCACTAATCGCTGCGCAGCAGTGAATGAATGAGATCAGCTAGTGCGCATGCGCCCCTTTCCCTAAGTTTATCAACAAGGCTCCACGCAGCAGGTCACATGACCAGTCTCAGGTTGCTCTGTCAGAGACAAAGGAGTCCCTACAGACTCTCCATCTTTTTTTATTTTAGGCAGAAAATATATACTATTTATTGTACATGTACTAAATTATTTATTTTGTATGTCACATTTTAAACATTTCACATTTATTTCTTTTATAAACGTACATGTGACAGCCTTGCAAAATTCAACAAGCACGTCCAAGATTCTGTCAAATCTGTTCTGAATCCCAAGTTTTACAGCTTCTGACTCAGCCCAGTCTTCAGAACTGATCATTTAGACTTGTCTTTGATTCAAACATTGAACTTAAACTTAAACTTAACTCAGTCATATTCTGGGTTTGGCAACAACAAGGTAGATGCAGTCTTGTAAAAATTGACATATGCATATTCATGGACAAATACTTATGTAGATTTAGGGATTAACCAATCCATAATCCCTAAGGGATAGACAAAAACAAAAATGCTGGCTTTGTATACTCAGCATGTCCAGTAGTCATGAAACTTAACTATATTTCTGTTTATCTTGGACTTGTGTGTGTGGTAATTAATAGTTAATATGGGGATGCCAAGGTAAAAACGCTTGTAAAAACAAATGAAGAATAAGATTGTAGTTTTTTAGTGTTAACAAAAAATAATTTTGTCTTTTTTACCTAAAACCAGCCGCTGTGGCAGATTTTGATATATGGAGGCTGATTGACCTGTATTATATCGAAGACAAGAGGACAGAAGAAAAGACAGATTTTGCAGGAATGGAAGATTCCTTCGACCCACTCAAGTGTCATGAAGACCTGCCCTCCTCACCAGGGTGCCATATGGATTATGGTACAAAGAAAAATCACATAACATATATAGAAATGACAAACTATACTTTCCTCCCACAGTGCATTTTCTGTGTTTCACTGATGAATGTTGCTCATCTTGTCATCTTCAGATGACATGCCAATGCTGCAGGAGGTGGAGGAGGACCAGAGGTCACCGGGGTTATTTCAGGTCAGCGCAGGAGTGTCTCACCAGGAGCACAGTAGTTCCCCCAGCACCAACTGGCTCACTGAACTGGCCAACATTGCCATCAGTCTCCAGAGCCCTTTGTTGAAGAATGTTCCACATAAAAGGTTTGTACAAACGAAGTAGTGTAGAAATGGCTCTGTTTAAGTTGAGGAAGTTTAACATTTGCATACATTAACACAAACACAGCATGTAATATCAAGTAGAAACTAGTAGACCAGTGGGGTTTGTCAGAAAACTGGATTAGCCACCTTGCCATGAATGTGCCTTAATTGCTTTTAAATATTCATAACTAAGATGCAGAAAAATAACAATAAATTAGTAAAGCCCAGGCAGGTCATCTAAAAAGTTTGGCAGGAAGAGGAATATCTTTTACATGCTTACAAGATGATGTTAAATGAAAAAGGATGTGCTAAAGAAAATTAAAATGTATAGTATGGAGAATTAGCTCAAACCCATGAAACTTGCTTAAATGTTAACCAACCACATTCTGAAAAAGCTGAAACTTTTAAGGGTAAACCTGAATAACATGTCCAAGGCATGAATACCATATGAATCTTGCCTTGAACTGACAGGCCTTTAAGTAGGTAATAAAATACTTTAATACATTTTTATTAATTTTCTCTCTGTGTAACACACATACACACATTTATAGATATGTGTGTATATATCTGTTTATATATATATATATAATCTTCTATCTATAATCTTCCTCAGATCATCTCCAGTCCACATCTTTGGCACCAGCAATAGTTTACATTCCTATGCTCGGCCCCCATTAGCCAGCAGTGCACCCAACCTGTCCAGAGGCCATCTGAGGGAGCGCAGGCGTGTCAGGGTAACCTTTAACATCCAGCCTCTAAGAAATCTATTTCTGTACAGCTTAAATTTAAATCTTTTTTTTATGATGTTGTAAGACATTTTCTTTCATCAACCTCAGGCCAGCAGTGAATCTGAGTCTGGAGTTTTCTCAATGTCCTCATCTTTTTCTGATGATGAAGACATGGCCTGGTCTCACTCTTGGCCCTCCACTGCCTGGCATTGCTTCCTGAAAGGTGCATACTTACTAAATGTACATACACACTAATGACATCAGAGGCTTTCACTCGTGAAAAACTAAAAAAAAAACCCTAACTTTTATTAGTACTTTTTTGCAAACATCTATTCTTTTGCATTTCTTCATTGAACTTCAGGGACTCGCCTGCGCTTCCACCGTGGCCCTAATGTAGAGTGGCAGGATGCTGATGAACTTGCAGATTCAGAGGAGGACTCTGATGATGAAACTATGATGCCGTGTCGTTTCTCTCTCAAGGTTAGTCAGTGATTTATATCATTTTAATATCCCAAAATAGGTCACGTTTAAAATGTGTTTAATCTTGGTAAAACCTTTTTTTTTATTATTTACGTTCTCTACACCTCTTGTTCTAAGTTATTACAGAGGCCACTAGGTGGCAGACATGCCTAAGTTGAAAGTGCAATAGTTGTTCAAATGAATGCAGTCGTCAGGTCTTGTGGTAATGTGTCATACGTTCACAGGATGCTGTGAGGTTTTCTGTTAATCAGGTGTTGGATTCAGATTTTAAGAATTTTCTTATCTTTTGGTTTCATTTCATTTGACTTGTGTCTGTTTGTAAAACCTATTTTTGGCCCTATTCACAGAGCTATGGCTCAGAGGGTCTGAAGTTGGTAAGCCATGAAGAAGCCCTATCATTTGGTCAGGCAGTTCTAAAACTCAGCTTTGATGCTGGTTCACCTGAAGATGGTCTTTTGACAGCCGAGTGCCGTCTAGATCACCCATTCTTTGTAAAAAACAAAGGTAAAAAAAGTTTTTTAAATTGTATTTCACCAGTGTTAAAAAATTAACAGAATTAACACACTTGACAGGGTTGTCAGTTGTTTTAGTTGAGAACTAAAGAGAGTTATGTGCAAACCAGATGGTCGAGCAACATGTGATATAAGTCCTGCCAACAGAATTAATTTTTGGCGAATGCAAATCGCCCTTTGAATCAAAGTAAATTTTAACGTACCATCTGGGTTTTTTTAGGGTGGTCTTCTTTTTATCCAAGCCTCACTGTGGTGCACCACGGGATCCCTTGCTATGAGATGCAACTTGGTGATGTGTGCCTGCCGCCAAACCATCCTGATGCCATTAACTGTGATGATTCAGTTGTTTTTGACACATTCAGAAGGTACATGTTCGTATATAACAGTTCGTCCTGTGGTGTAACTGACAGAATGTTAATATGGGTGACTCTGGTGGAGAGAGCTGTGAACAGAATGTGTGGGTTAAAGGACATAGGATTATTCACAATATGCCAGTATATTTATTTCTGAGGGGGTTTAAACTTACAAGGATGCATTAATTAAAAAAAAACATGACATTTAACCATATATTTTTAGAAGAAACAGCACGTGTTACACCACAAACAGCTGAGCGACAGATAACATTGGGTTCATATTATTATTATTTTTTTCTGTCTTCTTCTTCAGTTATGACTTCACCCCACTTGATTCATCTGCAGTCTACGTTCTCAGCAGCATGGCTCGTCAACGCAGGACCTCCCTGTCCAGTGGGGGCGCTGTCAGTCCAGACTGTGATAAACTTGAGCGCTCCTACTCCCCGCAATCCTCAAGTAGCAAATCAAACAGGAGCCACACCTCAGGGACAGCCAGTGGTGCCATGACAACCAAATGCAAGAGGCCAATGAATGCCTTCATGCTGTTTGCCAAGAAGTACAGAGTGGAGTACACACAGATGTACCCTGGGAAAGACAACAGGTACATTAACAAAATAGTATTGTAGGTGTTTGAAAGATTCAAAAGGTAAAGATAAAACGTTAAAGTTAATACACTAATATTTCTTGGCTCTTTGGATTGCCAGCATAAAAATAGTGAAAAGGTTTTGTTGGTATTCCAAAATGTATTCCAAAATAAGCCATAAGGTGGCACGTGTGAGATTGCTTGCCTTTCAAGCAAGAAGATCAGTGATTCTGTGTGCCCTTATGTTTTTTAGGGTACGCTGTGTTCTTCCCACTAAACTCCTTGATTGGATGCTCTAAATTGAGCATAGATATGTCCTGTGACCCCTGTGACCCTGTTTGTAATTGAACTGTATGAATGAATAATTTCGAATATGTGGTTTATATTGGTCAGAAAACCATTTGGTCCAATGCTCGGTCATCTTTCAGACAGAGTCCCTGTTGAAAACATTTGCAGATCATTAAGTTTGAAAAACAGCAAAGGCATTAGAGTGAGATCAAGAAAGAGATGAAGATGTTCCTCACTTTAACGAGGATTCGATTCAGACCTCTCCACACCTCATAGTCTGTTGAGCAGAAATAATAACGGAGCAGGAAGTGCGACAGATTCATCTAAGGCTTTGTGTAGACACCACAACAGTTTCATCTTCTGTCTCTTACTTTTCACTCCAGAGCCATTAGCGTCATCTTGGGTGACAAGTGGAAGAAGATGAAGAGTGAGGAGAGGAGAATATACACCATGGAGGCCAAAGCTCTGGCTGAGGAACAGAAACGACTTAATCCAGACTGCTGGAAACGTAAAAGAACCAACTCAGTAAGCCCTACTGCAAACAGTAAAAATACTTTCCAATTATTTGAGTATTTGTGCACCATCTGTAAACACAGTGTCAATGTCTTTGACAGGGTTCCCAGCAGACTTAATCAAACAGCCAGAACTCCTGCAGCTGGTGTTTTGGAAGGAAGAGGTTATGGACAGAGTTGGATTGACCGCTTGATGCCTCTCTACTCTCCTGCGTTCTTGATACTCAACTGTGATGCTGAATTCACTTCCTTGTTTAACCTTGAAACATTATAAAGGCAAAGCAGAATTACGAATAATGTATAAACAAAAAACATGTAATCTAGTCACTAACAGTGCATATATATTTTCTTATATTTTTAATGACAATAATGTCTTATTCCCCTGAAATAGGAATGGAGCCTGTCTTTCATTTCAGGTTATTTCATATTCAATGAGGGCATGTGGTGCTATGCTTTAGTGTAGAAGGAGTGGCAAAAACAAGTGTTTATTTATAATTACAAACAAAGGGGGATTTTAGCAAACTTTTCATAACTGTTCATATTGACTATATTTGTATGGTTCAGTAAATTGCACAGATTGGTAACCATTTTCATACCTTTTTAATACAGTATATATTCTGCAGCTGAGCTATGGCCATTGTTTGTAATACTACGTGCCACGTCTTTAGCGCCACCACCTGGCCATGTGATGAAGCAGATTTTCAGCATGTGGTGTTTGGTTTACACTCAGTCATGAAGCACCTCCGCCCTTCACGGCGAGTGCTTATTCCTTTTGCACTTTATATAAATATGTAATCTATTCATATACAATACTGGCGGCAAACCATTTGTACTTATCAGTATCTTCGTACAGTAGTTAGCAGTTGGAGGTGGTCGCAGCCCCAGAGGCTGGGACGTGCTTTCAGGTTGCAAAGTTTTAAGCACTTCTGAGTGCTTTGTTCATAATGTACAGGTATCACAGGCCAAACAACCTCTTGCACAAAATATCCTTGTATGATATTATAAATAATTTTTAAACCATGCATATTATTCAAGTGTTTGTTTCCTTTTTTTTCATAAACAGTAAACAGTCATCAGGACCTAAGTGTCTCCTTGACTGATTGTATATTTAGTGTGTATGTTTTTTTCCCTCTCTGATTGAGCTGCAGCTTTCTCCTACTTTAATGACTGTGTCCTCAACTGACTTAGATCCATTTATTAGAATCAACTTTTTTTTTTTTTTGAAGTTTTAGGAGCTGATATCCACTGATGTAAATGTCTGGCTGAGTAAAGCTTGATGTTTCCAGGTAACAACCCAGTCAGTGTGTTTTATTCTCTTCCACAGTGGGTTTGATCTCATCAAAAACACCATGCTCAAATGCTAACGAAGACTCTCATTTACTCACTGTAAGTTGAATTTAATTAAACCCTATATTCACTGGTCCCTGAGTCTCTATTCTTGATGAAAGAAAGGATCTAAAAGACCATCTCAATCAAAGAACACATTACATGTTCTACTTCATATGTAACATTTTGCTTTGAAACAAAGGCCAGTATTTCCAGGTGACACATTTATCTTCCTGACCCAACGTAGCTGAATATATTCGTTTTTATTTATTTGTCTCTTTACTGAAGAAGATCATTGGCTAAAAAACCCCAAAAACATTACGTTAGCCAATTTAAAAACACTGTAAAAAAGAAGCCAGAGGGCGCTGTGACGCAATATTTGTGTAGGAGCATCGTTGCTTCTTGATAACGTCAGAAAAATCCGAGGCTCCTCCTGTGTGAAGTAATGATTCATGGTATTTTGACATTATCAAGTAAGCAAATATTGGAGCATATCGTTTTCTGGAAATATAACAGTGTATGTTGTGTATGTTTCTCTTTTCTGTTCTTGCTAACAGTCATAACTGATGGTCACAGGTTTTCCCCGCAGAAGAGCTGTATCTGCGTTACATCCTCAGACTA